ACTTTCAAGGATGTTTCTCTGACAGGAGTCTGTTTGAATAGGTCACATCTCCATGCCCACGGTCCCTAGGCTGTGAATAGTTATCATTAGCATATCAAAAACCTTCCAAAGTGTTTGGAAGATTTTGTTTCTTTTATCTGCAGGTTTTCTCTGGAAGAAGCTAGTAAGGACTGTATCCTGGGATATGAGTTTTATTTCAAGGTTATTGAAGTATCACAGAAGCGCAGTCAAGTGGAAATCTGGTGAATAATATCCAGAGGGCACTGTTAGCAAGATACTGAGAGAGTCTCAGGAAACTTGAGAAATGATGATAAACATTTTAAATTCAGTTTATCGTGGGGATAGAACATATATTTTGACAGACAAACCAACACTTTGGTCCAAGTTTAATGATAAATTGTAGATTTGTAACCTTCCAATTCACAATGACTACCTATCATTTTGCAGTAATAAGCTAGCACGTTCAAGAGATATTTTGAAACAGATAAAATAAAATTTATATTCAAGGCCATTTAGGATATTCATGTGTTTTGGTTTACTAGTAAGCATCGGGGTAACTTTCAGGACATTTTCACATACCGAATTTATCATTCATAGTGTACCAGTAGGGATGATCACTTATGTTACTGTTAGAAGATAAACTGAGAGATATTAAGGATTTTGAGTTCACTTGAGCAAAAAATCGATATGAATTGGGCAGCATTCAATCTAGAAGATAGAAGGAAGCTCTGGGATGCTGTACAAAATAAAAGGCTTTTATAGCAGAAGAGAACAGGACAAGGAAGTTATACTCAGCAAAAGTAAAAAGCAGGTTGGTTATTGCGAGGTCACTTTCCTTGAGGGACGGCAGGGGTCTATAAGGCAGACGACCTAACTATTGCTGATCAGGTGATTCCTGAAGGACTGTTTCTAATTCCGTTTCTGGGAGAGCAGAAACTGTAATTAAGATTCAGTTTGGTAATATGGGGTTTAGCACAAGTGACTATTTTGGGCCTGTTGTCTTGTTTTGAACATTACCGAGGTATTATTTTCTGCAGAGCCGTACTAGGTGATCCTAAAGATTCATTCCAACTCTGAAATTGTTTCTTTCTCCTTGAATACTGCTCATTATTTACTATTGTCTAAATTGAAAACTCCTAACCAGATAAAGCCACCTTAAGGTATACTAACTGAAAAGAACATACTTCACTAAAAAATACAAATGAATAAGTGAACGTACATGTTTTCATCACCCAGATTAAGAAGGTAAATATTATTTTATCTTGGAATTTCTGATGTGCCTCTAAGCAAGTTGGTCTTAGTCAGTGTCTAAAACTTAGCTATAAACACACACACTTTTACTCCTTGAAGAACAAGAACACCATCATGGCCACACTAATGTTAGAAAATCAGAGCAGGGAAAACCACAGAAAAGGAACCCATAGAAAAGCAGGATGAAATTCTGCAGATAAAGTCTGGTCAAATTTCTGGCAGCTCCAGGAAGTAGGATAGCGTGCAGCAGAGTCCAGGCACTGAAAAGAAGGAAAGACACATTTCATCTGCTGATGACAACAGGAAAGCAGAGTTTGAAGTTTGGGTTACATCAAGTCAACCTTCTAAAACACAATGGTAAATAAACATCCCTGTAAACTTAATTCTGGGAGAATAGGAGGAAACTTACATTTGAAGAATTAATGGACAAAATTTTCCTCAATTTGGTAAAAAGCATACATTTACAGACTTAAGAACTTCATCAATCTTAAGCATAAAAAATACAAAGAAGAAAACCTGTAGACACATCACAACCAAACTGTTGATAATTAAGCTTAAAGAGAACATCTCCAAAGTAGAGATTTAAAATCAAAACAAAACACGAACACTTTAAAAGTAAATGTCAGCAGTGACATGAATACCTGATGACTTTTCATCAAAAACGATAGAATCCAGAAGATATTATAACATTTCAAAAGCCAAGAATATTTTCAACCTAGATTTTTATATCCAGTAAAATTAAAGCGAAATAAAAATATTATCCAATGACAGAGAGAGAGAGAGAGAGAGAGAATGCTTTGTCAGTACATCTGTACTATAAGAAATTTTAAGTGAGTCCTTTAGACTGAAGAGAAATTAGTAATAATATACATGTCATGAGCTAACTTTACCTAATTGACAATTTCACCTAACAGTATTAACATATTAAGTCTTTCCAAAATCACAGAGTACATCTATCAAAATAGATCATATTTTAGGCATAAACGAGTCCCTAGTGAATCCTCTCCAACCACAATGAAATTAAATAATAAATTCAATAAGAGGCTAGAGAGGAAAATTCTAAATATTTGAAAACTTAACACACACTTCTAAACATCCTATGGTCAAATAGTGACTAATAAGAAAAGGATAAAAGATATCTAAGAGCCTAAAAGCCCTTTGGCCTAGCCATGTATGGGTCTGTTGCAATGGACCCCTCTTAAAAGCAGCTCACATAGTGCACTCAGAAGTAAACAAGCTACACCTGAGGAGAATTCACTGCCATCATTCACTGTCATTGCCATCCATTCTATATGGGAAGCGAGGACAGTAGGAGAATCCTATCCTAAGAACAGAATGTGGAATAGTAAGTCCAGAGGGACTGTGGTTGAAAACTAATTCTGATATACTACATCCTCTTTTCTTTACAGCACGTGTCTTAGATAATAACCACAACACAGCTCATTGTCTAATTTGGTGCTGGTGCTTACTTTGCTTACTTTTGACCATTGGATGGGCTAAGAGGATTAGATTGGGTTGTTTTCTGGCCATTTTAATTTTCTAGATGTTTCCTGGAATAATCTGGATCACTTTCCTTATTACTTGTTCACTTTAGCCATAATTGTCATTTCATAAGTGGTCACTGAAAGAAGGGAGAAATTAAATGTGTTCCTACCTCTATAATTTATAAAAAGAAAACTCTCAAAATAAGTCTAATTATCAATATCAAACCTCTAAATAATTTCCGCTAAAATTTATGTTTTAGATTAATTGAATAGATCAAGCCTGCAACCTAGGCATGTGCCCTGACCGGGAATAGGGAATCGAACCGTGACCTCCTGGTTCATAGGTCGACACTCAACCATGCCAGCTGGGCTAGAAGTTTTTTGTCTTGATATTATAATTCATGCCATAATGAACATACTTACATGTACATCTTCCTACATTTTTCTTTTTTTGTTTTCCTAGTGGGTAAGATGTTTGAAATAGAAATTCTGGGCCAAAGGAAATCTTTGGTGGTGAAAAAACAGGATTTTAAAAATATCTGGTAAATATCCAAATTGCTTTTAATAAAGAATAGAGTACACTTATATTACCAAAGCTATAGCCATTTATTTACTTTTTGCTATATTTACCAATATGTTTTCTTTTTTGTTGGTTTGTAAACTAAGATACAATACTGATTTTCTGTTTGTTTGAATTTATATGATTAATAATGAGATTGATAGTGTTTATATTTTTTGATCAATTGTATTTTTTGACTTTTGAATTGTTCTTTATACAGAAGCTACTTTCTACTCCATAATGTGTAGGCAAACAAACAAACAAAAAAGAAACAAAAGAAACAATGTTAACATAACCTAAGGTTAACATAAGTGGGTGCCTATTGGCTTAAGATATACTAGTATGCTGGACACAGTGACCTCAGGACATTTGTGAAAGTAGGAGGCAGCTTCTCAATGATTCTCTCTCATCATTGATGTTTCTATCTCCCTTTCTCTTCCCTTCCCTTCTTCTCTAAAATCAATAAAAATATATCTTTAAAAAAAAAGGATGAGAAAATACCTGAAATAAAATTGCCTTGAGAGGGAGTTTCAGGCTGCTAATTCAGGTTCAGCAGAAGTAACTAATAGGTTTTTCAGGGGGTGGGGATGGGTGGTTTGTGCTTAATATGTACCTAATATAGATCACTTTTCTAGATATAATAACAATGGTCTCGGTTGTGCTTTTGAGAATAAAATTAAGGGGGGGGGGGAAGGATGGCCTAAAATGAACTGGCTCTTTGTGTATGGGTCACCAATGTGACCTGCACAGAAATAGTATAAGCGTGGGATTCTAGCCCCTGTAGACAAGTGTCATTTGTTGAGTTGGGCAGGACTAGTCATCTATAGTGACACTTTATACCAGTGAGAAGCACATTTTGGCCACATCAGATTATCGCTCTTTTCTTCAGTTTATGTTTGGAAGTTGTCCTAAAAGCTTTTGATTTAGTCCCAGGGATTTTAGACTTCTTATTTTCTTTCCTGGATTTCTTTGTCCCCCCAACTTATTAGTAGAGGTAGGACAGACTTTAGGGAGAAATAATTTGGAGTTTAAGGTATGAAATAAAAGAAAAGTAATAGCATTTGTACTTTGAATTGGTTTTCAAGGTGGAGTAGGTGTCCTTTGGCTTCTTTTTCAGTTTCTAGATAATTGTCATTCCCACTCACAAAAAGTAACCAGCACTGACACTGGGCACTAGACTATGCCATTCCTTCATCATCCACCTGTGTGTAGTCCTTCTCCACTTCACTTATTCTTAAGGGTTTCATCTCCTGGCTCACTGTTTTTCTCCACTTCTGCCATTATCATTTGTAACCTCAATATCCATCCAATGTCCTAGTTTGCTTGCAACAATTCCAGAATTAATATATAGTTTAAATAATTATTTTCAATGCTCTTTTAACCTCACAATTATACTAGATATATCTTTTGATCACATCACACATGGGTGAGCCTTCCAATAACCAGATGTCTTTATTGACTCACTTCCTATATCAGGTGCTAGCCAGTGACCCTCAATCTATGCTCCGTTCATGTGTGTGTGTGTGGGGGGGGGGGAAGGGGGGTGGTCCTGAGACACTTTCACAGGGTTTGTGAAACTATGTTCATTGTATTGCAAAAAAATTTATTTTAACTCTCCCCCCCTCGCCCCGTAGCCGCCCCCCAATTCTCAGATTTTCCAGAAGCTAAGCACCTTATGTGATCCAGAAGCAGATATGAAAGTCCAGGTGTAGTCTAACAGCCAAACTTTTAAGATCATTTGTAAAAATGTAATATGGTGACACTCTTTCACAACTGTTTTGCTTTTGAAAAATACAGTCATTTTTAACAGATAATAATGCTATGGCATATCATGCTATCATGGCTTTATTGGTGTCATTTTAAAAATAAACCTATAAATGAATATTTAAAAATCCTCAGTTCTGAGGTAGAATATATTAAATATTGGCTTCATGCATATACAGCAAAAAGGTTTGTGAGCACTCAATAATTTTTAAGAGTACAAAGTGTTCCCAAAAGAGTTTTAGAGTTGCTGCCCTAGATTTATTAGCAATAATTTCAATGATCTCAAATCCATGGGTTATATTCTTTGAGCATTGCTTCCTTCCCATATTCTTGCCAGGGAGGATGTCCACTCCAACAGTCTTTGGCGCCACTAGAATCTAAATCCTTTACAACAGTGTCTCCTGGGTTTCTCATGAGCCTCTTTTACTTTCTGTACTGAGTACCTGCAAACAACTCCCCTCACACTCTTTTCTTCTGTCATCTCACAATCAAACAACAACCATCTGGCCAATCCAGCTTCCCATTTCTTTCACACCCCTATGGACACAGCTGAACAAAGCAGCGATGAACCAGGGGGTGGGAAGATGGGAAATAAGAGGGGCAGCAGAATGCCTTTTGAGCAAATTTAGGTCAATAAATGTGGAAAATTTAAAAAGAAGAACAAATTCTTTCAAAACATAACTTGCCAAAAATAGGCTTCAAATTAAATAGGCGAGCTAAATAAAATAAGCCTATCACCATCAAATTGTACACATAGTCAAAATGTTCACACATAGAAAACACAACAGTCAGCTGGTTTAAAAATGAGTTGTAACAAACATTCTAGTATTAGATCACTCCAATCTTACACAAACACTTCTACAGAATAGAAAAATAGAACATCTTCAACTTATTTTATGTGAAAGAAGTGTTGACTTCAAAATTAGATCAGTACAGTATGAGAAAATGACAAAGGTTGATGTAAACATCTTCAATTGATTATTAACAAACTCAATCCAGCTACATACACAAATATAATGAATCACTCTCAGGCTGATTTTATCATAGCCAACCAAGTTTGATTTAATCTCAAAATAAAATATTTTTTTTCATATAATACAGATATTTTCACACTAACAGATATAGGCAAATAAACATACAACTATCACAATAAATGCATCAGAAGCACTGAATAAATCCTATTATACATTGATGATAAGAAGTCATTTACCAAAGCAGGACTAGAAAGGAGTACCACATCCAGATAAGGTGAGTCTATGAAATACACACCGCATCCATCCCTCAGTGGTGATATCTGGAAGCTCTCCATTCTCATAGGAACGGTACAAGAACACTCACTATCACCAAACCCTTTCAGAATTTTACAGGAGGTCCTAACAAATGCAGTAAGAACATTAAAAAGTTACGAGTAAGAGGAAGGAAATACCATAATTCTCATAAATTACCATTGCAAAACCATTTATTTCAAAAGAATTTACAAGTCAATTATTAAATTAGTAAGAAAAATTAATAAGGTCCCTGATATAATACAAATACACAAAAATCAATTCTTTTTCTATATATAATTGAACATATAATTAACAAATGTCATCTACTGTAATAACAATATAAAGTGCTCAGAGACATCTATCAAAGGATTAATAAGTATTATATAGGAGAGACATACCATGCTCATGAACAGAGATTAATTAATGTAAAGAGGTCAATTCTCTCAAAGTTGATTTAATGCATTTACAATGAACATGTACCTTGTTTGTAAGCTTTGAGAAACTGTGCAAACTATGCACATGGAAGAATAAAGGCTTAAGAAAATCTAAGACAAAATGAGGAAAAAGAAAATAAAAAGCCTTGCCTTGCCATATTTCAAGGCTAACAAAATGACTATAGTAATTAAGACAGTGTGGTATTGTCAGTGGCTTTATCAAATTTGCTAGTGGAATAAAGTAGAGAGCTCAGAAATAGACTCATACAAAATAGACAACCTGGTATGTTGTAGTGATAGCATTGAAAGGTAGTGGGAAAGAAAGGGGTTTCAATCTTTTCAGTCTAGGATAACAGGTTTATTCATAAGGAAAAAAAATTCAGAATCAACACAACAATTTACATAAAGCAGATTAAATCCTGAAATATTAAAAGACAAAAATCTATGGCAGATAAGCTCTAAAATGACCCCCCATTGTTACACCTGGTATTCATGATCTTATATAATCCCTTCGGTGTGAGGACCTGTGACTTGCTTCTAACCAACGCTGATTGGGTGTCACTTCCAATTGAGCTACATTGTTATAGTAGTTAGTAGTTCCTTTACTGATTCGCTCCCATCCTGGCTTTCATGAAGTAAACTGTCATACGGAGAAGCACATGTGGTCATGACTAAGGGTGGTCTTCAGCCAAAAGCTAGAAAAGAACTAAGGCTTTTAGTCCAAGAACCCACGAGGAACTGGATCTTGCCAATAACCAAGGAGCTGGGAAGCAGATGCTTCTCCAGGTGAGTGTCAGATGAGTTTCCAGTGCCAGCCAGCAGCCTGATGGCAGCCTTGTGAAAGACTGAACACATGGATTCCTACCCACAGGAACTCTGACATAATCATTGTGTTGTTTTAAGCCATTAAGTTTGTGGTAATTTTGTTATACAGCAATAGACATCCAATAAAAGTATTAAAAGGTTTAGAGGAAAATAGAGGAGGGTATTTATAGTGCCAAGACTCTGGAAAAGATTCTTTAATAAGACAAAAAACTATAAATAATAAAAGAAAACACTGACATATTTGCTTACATTCAAATCAAAGACACCTGTGTAGCGAAATAGATTACACAAATCATAGTACAAAGATCATGAAAATAGAAGCAAAGAAGTTATTCATAGCACATATAACAAAAAGTCTATTATTAATATATGACAAACTTCAATGCATTAATAAGAAAAAATGAACTCGAAAAATGGATAAAAGACAAGAACATGGACTTCATTTTACAAACTACAGATGGAAAACATGACTATACATGTGCATGTGCTCATGCTCAGGTGCATATAGGCTATATGTCATTAATAGTCAGAAAGTGCAAATGAAAACAAAAATGTGATACCCAGACAGGAAAGTATTAAAAACTCTGAAACTGTCAAGTACAAGAGAACATTGGGAACAACAGAAACTTTCCTATGATGGCTGGAGTGTCAATTGGTACAGACAATCTGAGAAATAATACCTTGGCATTGTCTAGAATAGCCAAGGGTGAGCTTTCAGCCCTGGATACATATACTAGGGAGGAGGCTGGGGTGGGAGTGGGTGGGAAGGTTCTGGGTACAAACAAAAGACAGAACATTCTTATATCTAGAACATATAATGGAACACTACCAAGTTGAAAATAAGCGGCCACCTACAAAATCAAGATGCATTAGACAAAATTTTGGGCAAAGCAAAGCAAGTTGCACAATAATATATGCAATATGTTACTGTTTACAAAAAGTTGCAAAACATGAAAAACTCTACAATACGTTGATAAGGAGAGACGTGTATGGTGGAGCTATAAAGACAATCCAGGGAATGGTAAACAGAACATGCAGGATAAACATTCACCTCTTGGGTAGTTGGTGGAAACAGGAAAATGTGATCATGGAAAGTCAGAATTAATTGTGCATTTTCTCAGAGTAGATGACATGTCTACTTGTGTTCATTTTAATATCTTTCAGATCTTTGATGCCTGGCACCAGATTATAGAATGTGTGAGTATATGAATTCTGATGCTAAGTCCCACCTCTGGCCACAGAAACTGATCAATATCACAGAGGAACCTATTTTGCATATCCATAATGCCTACGGTCTGATATACAGGTGCAGCAGAGCTGGCATACTCCAGGATCAACACAATAGTGTTTTCTAATTCACATACAGTGAACCATAGCAGGGTGTGGACAGCAATAGCCAAAAAAAACCCAACCATAGCAAAGGAACCCCTGTCTATAAAGAGTATGAGCCCCACTCTCACAGGTCTGTGGCATTTGGTCCCAATGCAGAGGTGTACTTTTCATTGGGAGGCTGAGTTTCTGGCTGGAGGCTCTGGGATTTGCTCCTGGGTCCTCACCTACAGCCATGGAAGACAGAAAGCATCCAAATGTACAAAGCACCAAGCAGAGGATAAGGTACTTTTAGTCCAACCCAAATTATATGTGTGAATGACATGTGAATTACCAGGAAAACATTATTGTACATAGATTAATTTTTGAGATAATCCTTTGGTATGTATGGCATTAAAGTGAATAAGATGAAATACACTGAGTTATTCTTCCTGTCATTACCAGCAATAACCAGCATGAACTCCGCAGACCATGTGCTCTTCAGGGCATTGGCATTCAGTGACGGGCCGAATTTCTTTGTAGTAAATGTGCTGGGGAAGTTGAGTGAGAGGCAATAGGAAGAGGGCAAGTGCCAGTGCTTCTGTTCTATTTGCATGTCTCTTTGGAAATCAATGGCAGGTGTCATTGCCAACTATAGAGTCAAAACCTAAATAAGAATAGGTGGTGATCTCTATCCAAATTTACCAAAAACTCCCTCTTTAAACTACTCTTCCCTCATAACCGCAGTTTCAGAAACAAATAAACCGTGTCAACTACAGGACAGATAAGACTTTCTGATGCCTTTCATCCAGTGGTCATCTCTACCTGCCTGCCTCTCTTCCCCTTGATAAATTCTGAAGTCTCTAGAGATTGCCAATTCCCTACAGAGTAGGGTCATAGTCAACCAATTTTTGTGTTCTTCCCTCATGCTAATCAATACCTGGACATAGCTAAAAAAAAGTATGGTAAACAATGAATTAATTGTAAATTCACTCAACATTATTTCACAAAGCATATTCCCCATAGAGATAATATGGATTTCAAATTTATCTGTAAATAAGTATCATAGAGAGTTCTTGTGAGGATTGTAATGAGATACATGAAAACTTATGGTTCAATTTGTAGCACACATTGAGATTAATTCATGATAGATGCTACATCCCTTTAAAAAAAAAGTCTTCCCTGTGCCAACCTCATGCACCACTGACTTAGAATGTCTCAAGCAACCTGCAAGAACCTCTTTCTAGAGAGATAATACTAGAAGATCTTACCAGTGGCAGGAGGGACAGATAGAGAGCGCAAATACATAGTATAGGGATGTTCTTGCCATTTAGTAAGTTGGGAAGATGAATGCAGAAGACGGTGCAAGTCAGAGAAAGAACTTGGAATTAAATTAGAAGAGTAGAAGCAAGGCTTGCCCACCACTGAATGTTGCAAGTTTAGTGGCTGAAAGTGTAGGACTATATGTCAATATTCAACTGTATTTCCCATTGTCTGCCTTCTCAGCTCCATACAGAATCCTAACAGTTACCCAAGACCTAAAGAAGAGGGCTATCACAAATTATCCCAACCATGGCCAACTTGCTTATAGCTTTTTATTTAGTAAGAGAGGAGTCTTGTTATACATGTAGTCCCAATGTACTAGTTTATGATCAAACATAGCAATTTTTTAAATCATTGTTAATATTTACTCATAGAAAATTGAATGTGATATTCTTTATATATCAGGACTGTCTGGGATCTATGATGATGCACCCCAAACTCTACTGACAAATGACATAAATTACAAGTGGCCAAAAGAGGGTAGCACATCCACAGAAGAAACAAAACATACGTGTGTGTGGAGTAGTTCTTGTTTGAATATATTCACTGCGGGTGATGGGGCCAGTCCTCTTCCATGCCTAGGAATTTGACATAACCATCCCATTCTTGCCAGGCATTTACTACTTCTTCCTGTCTAAATAAAAATGTCAATCAAATGTCCAATATATGGGGTCTAGGCCTAATATGTATGCATCCTTGTGTCATCTGCTTAAAACTTGTGCCTCTCCAGGTTTATAGAAATTAAACCGCATTCATAGATTTATCTTTTTTTCTCCTGAACAGATTCTCCCATTTCCTATCCTTCCTGGAATTTTTATTACAGTAAATTCAACTCTGGGTAGAGCACATTCCATCCAAAATGAGTAATTAACATTATTCCACTTTGGAAAAACAGATTATCACTATACTTACTTATGTTACTTGTGCCAGCAAAACACATTCTTTCCAAGTTTCAAGACTTAAATGCTCTTATTTTAATAAAGGCTTTTATCTCAACTGGACTGAAGTTTGGGGAATTTAATGAAGAGATCGAATTTACAGAGGACATTTTGTTTCTTTTGGAAGCGTCACAATAGTGATCATTGCTGCTTTATTTTTAAGATGATAAGAGTAAGTGTAGAATCTGGTCAAATTTTTTCCTAGGTAACATCCTAAGAGTGTAGGACCTGGGTGTTTGGGGAGGGTCAGTCACCTTAGGTATTGAGATGACAAGGCAGGGGTCCCCAAGCATGAACATATCATGTATGTTCAATGCCTCTCCACATAGAATATTCCTCACAGGAGCATCTGCAAATAGGTCTTCTCTTTCAGTAAACTTTCCCTTGGGGCAGGAGGGGGTGAGTACAGGGACAGGAAAATTCACCTTGACATTGCTGGGGGAGGAGGAGGTGCAAGTTAGGATACACTGTGAAGCGCATTTTATTAACCATGTCACTTTCATTAGCTATCAATAACATGTTCCCTTATTCATTCACAGACCTACTCTTTTTCATTTTCCCCTTCTTTCCTCCATGTACTGAATGAATGGCTCTCTTCTGCCCATGGGCACATTTCTATAAAATTTTAAAAGAAAGACAGTGGTATAGCTTTCATTTTCTTATTTGTTACCTACACATGTCTAATTCTTACCTTGATCAGACCTGATATTATTGCCAACCCAAAGCCTTTTTATTGGATCTCATTTGAGATCCCACATCCTGGGAATTGAAAGCAAACACTGAGACTCTGACCAATTATGAAAATATTGTTAACATCTGTGTAGCAATTTTACATGCTTGTTGATAACCCTCAAATAGGAAGGTTATTGTCTTCCTTGGCAATAACAGTGTAGATTCAGGTCTTTAGCTGCCCTTTCAACCTATGTTAATATGACTTTCATTCATTTTGACATTGTAGAGAAAAAGTCATGGGAGTCCAGGAAGAAAATCGAGTATATAAGCAGAAGTAGGAGTGGCCTGCATTCATTCACACTATATGGGGGGAAATGACAGCCAAGTGAGGTTTCGCTGGAATGGAACATATCCACAGCTTTATCACTCTGCAGGCACATTTTGTCACAATAACAAAGTACTGAGAAAGAACCACTTTTATCTAGGTCAGAATAACAGACGCCCAAGTGTTAGAGAGCTTGGGGGAAACGACAGTTTGCAACATCAGGAAGAAGACTGCAATCTGTACAGAGATTTCATCAAGTCTCCACACTGCCTAATAGTTTTCATCCAGCACATTGTAATTACTCCACTGGCTTCTACTGGCACAGCATTTGGATTTCAGCGTCTACCAAAAGAAAATGAACCGCATTCGATGACGACGACATTTCTAATAAGATGCAGATGGTAAAGGAAACAGATGCCTCTGACATCATCTCCCATTTGCCCACACTGGCAGTCTGTAAACTCATTCAAAGGATGCGAGACAAGTCAGGCAGTTTTCCAACTCTGCTTCTAGTCTAAAAAAAAAATGCAGCCCGTGGTGCCTCAGCTTCCTTTGAGTCATACAGTGATAATTCCACAAAAAGAAGTTTCATTCTAAGTCTGTGTTAGGCTTTAATGCAAAATTAATCATGGGGGTGGGGGGCGGGAATCCTGGAAAATACAGGGAGTTTAGCCATCAGTAACTGCGACTGATTCTGCATGACAGTGACAAAGGGGACAGGATGGGAGTGGTGTGATGCTAGCAGCTGTGGCTTCAAGGAGGCAATACAAAGAAAGGAGTTTTACACAGGCAAGCAGGTCCAAAATACTCCACCAGCCCTTGGCACCCCGATTATGCAAAGACTGATTCCATTACTTCAAAGGAGAAAACGTTAAGGAGGCTGTTTAGGTCAGTTTCTGATCTGCAAAAAACCATATTCCTTCTGTATGTCCATCTGTATTTTATAGAAGGAACCTTATAGTTCAGACAGAAGTTTCCACCATTTCCCCAGTGATATCACTAAACATTATACACAGTAAAGGATTTATTTTCTAGTGCAGGATAAACATGTTAGAAGACCTTTTATAAAAAGCTAAGGAACCTCTGTAGTCCATCTTAAAAGCAAGAGATGCTTGGGTACAACAGCCACTGAAGGCCTTGAGCAGTCTTTGAGGTTCCAGGACACATCAGCACAGTTGCAGATGAAGAGAGTTAAGACAAAAACTTTAAAAATCTTCCTGTATTTCCTGACCACAATAGAACTTCATCTGTACCTCTGTAGTGGAAGCACTTTAGCAGAAAACAATTCAGAAACAAAGGCAAGAAAGTAGTGACATAAAAATTAAATTGTGCTCCACCAAATATGGTGTCTATTTTTAAAACAATCTCTCTGTGCAAGTAATTAACTGAACACACACATTCTCTTCTCTCTCTCTCTCTCTCTCTCTCTCTCTCTCTCTCTCTCTCTCTCTCTCTCACACACACACACACACACACACACACACACAGTTACAAGAATAAACAAACTCTTCTAATTCATGTCCACAAATTGGGTTAGAAAGTATTAGTGCAAATTTCTGCTGACCTGCAGCACTCAGTCCATAAACTTTGGGTATCCTAGACGGTCCATCAGTGTCCAGCAGATGTTTTCAATCTGTTTAATTTTATCTCTAGGCAAGTTTTGTTTCCAAACATTAGTATTACTTGGTGATATTTCCCCTTCATAGGGAAGATTGAAAAGGTTCGTGGAAGTGGCAAACAATATTTGGTTTAAACTAGCAGGAGACAAAGGGATGCCAAGGAAGGCAAAAATCCTTTCAGTGGTTTTCTGGGGGAAATGCACAATATCTTCAAACTTGATCAGCTGGTAGCTGGTAGGTAGCAAATCTGCATTTATTCTCAGGGCTGCTGCTGTGTGTGCCAACCACAAATGAGACAACAAGGAGACTGCGTTGGACTTGGGTTTTGATAATTCTTTCCTTAATGATTCATACTCCAGAGCATAGCCCGAATTTAAGCTACATCTGCCTTTACCTCCCTCTACTTTAAACAGTTTAGCTAAGCGCTCTGGTATATTCTTCAGAGAGTAAAGACTTGGTTTGCTACTGTACAGCATTGAATAAATCCACGCCCGAGGGTCCCTTACTACATACAATGCCCTCAGCGAAGATCCCAAAACTTCCTGAAAAAAATGAAGCTTTAAGGTCCAGCTCCCACTGCTTAGACTGAGCACAGGCCGTGCGCTCGGGAAGTAAACCAGGTGTCTCCTCAAAGCCCTAATGTATTCAGCATCTCTATCAAAGGCGCCTTTCATTCTACTTCTTTGTTCTGACAAAGACTCTCTCCTCTTCGATTTTCTTTTCTTGTCCTTATTCACTATAAAATATTGGGCCAGTTTACCCCTACTGGATTCATGCAGATGAATGTTTTGCAAATGCAGTTTTGTATCTTGGACTAAAGACTGCAGCCAGCCTCGGAGTAGACGGAAATGCACACTGTGGATATCTGATGCCTTCCATTCACAGGCGTCTACAAAGGAGTCAATTTCAAATTCCGTCTCAGGGATATCAATGTAGGCTGTGGGAACCCTGATGTAGAGAAAATCACTACTGTTGAAAAATAGTTGTTTGAGAATTTCAGCTCCTGAACCAGGAAGTGAGGTAATGACAACATCGGGACGATCAACGTGGTGCCCTTGGGAAGACACAGACTTAGTGCTGGCCTCCATCTCCGTCCTTGCCCATTTTGCACAGATGGGCTGAGTGCAAGTGCTCCACACATCCAGGAGCTCGATAAACCACAAGACAACAACAAGTATTAGGATCCATCGCATTAGCTTTCTAAAAGAAAGGTAAAACCGCCACTGAAATGTTAAAATCAACAAGCTAATGCACAAAATCAACCCAATTGCTATATTAAATTTAAATCCAAAGGGGAAAATAACTTTATCCTGTCTTACGGGCCTTACTATTGCTTGAGAGCCCAAACCAAATCGGGTGATTTGGCCCTGATCAGCCACATTGGCAAAGCCACCAAATCCCAGGTAACTGAATCTTGTGTTCAGGTTGTAGTAGTCAGTTACAATGGAGACAACATGTTCAGTATTGTTGACGTTGAGAGAAATCTGAAGTCCAGAGTTGGAATTATCAGTAAATCTGCAGCTGGAAACATTGACATATGGCCCATGAAAGACATATGCAATTCTTGTGATTGTGGATTCCATCTGAAACGTAACGTTAACAAACTGGGTCCACCGTTTCTTAAATTCAGCAGCTTGCTCTGCTTCCTGTATACTAGCAACGGGGCTATTGCCATGGTAATCAAACCAAAACATTTTGTAGTGTGCATCCCACACGTCCATCATGGCACCATTATACTTGTTCATAAACCTATATGGGATGTACTTAAAATCAATATCCAGATTATGAAAGAAGGCACTGACAGATTTTATTGGGGAATCATCTTGCTTCTCAATGTGATCGACAACTAGCAAAGTTTGAGAATTTAGGAGAAGCAAAGCGCGATACACACTTTTTAGCTTCATTGCTGAAGAGTAAGCAGACACTGCCTCCCCGCTCACAAATATCATTTCCCCGTGTTGAGAGGCAGTAATGATTTCCCCTGCTGCGTCACCAACCTCCTCACTGGTCCACTTGAGCCACTGTGCACATTCTCCCAGTTGACCTTCCCAGGGCTTATTACACTGGCTCGTGGGTGATGGCGCAAACACCAATACGTTGTTAAGGTGGCTCAACTTAGGTCCATAGAGAGCTTCGGAAACAAATACTTGCCCATTGGGAGCAAAAGTAAATGAGTTCTGATCTGGATGCTCATGTCCTGGGTTAAAGCTTCTCCACCCATCAATCCAGGAGTATGGCTGAAAGTGAACTATGTCATACACAGCTCGACCTCCTAGTTTCCCAGATTTAAAAGACACAAAGGTATTGGTCTGGGTATTTGGCAACCCAGCCCCATAAGTAACAACACCCCAGTTAGGGAATGTGTGCATCTTTGCAGTACCATATTCAGCAGGAGGCTGTGGGGTGAGCTGGGGATCATACCAGATATATTCAGTGTGAAGAGTACTCCACCTCTGGGCAGTGGAGGGGACCATTGGTCCATCTTTAGGTCGGTGCCTTCTAATTTGCTGAGCTAACCAATTTCCAGCTCCATTCTTTAAGATGAACTTATCCAAGAAAACCAACTGGCTCTCTGGACCATAAAACCAATTATAATTGGAATCTGCTATACCCACAGTTCTTTGGAAGCCCGGTAAAAGGGTGGCATAATAGAACCAAAAGTGCATTTTTAACCAGTTATTATCCAAGTTGTTGATGTTAAAATGGCGCTGGGCCAGAAAGACATACTGTGTGACTGATTTAGCTGTGTAGCTCCCATATGCCACACCTTCATCCAAAGAACCATCAACAATATGATTCAACAGAAACATGGTCTTTTCCATCACATCTACTACAACTTGTTTCCATAAATTTACTTTAGGTTCTCTTTCTACCCCAGTCACCAAGGCCCCGGTGAGCAGTGCTATCATGTTAGTAGCTTGGTGGTTATGAAGAAGTTGTTTGCCCCATGAGCGGACCTTGGAATATTCATACATTTCCTCGGTAATCACCCATATTTTCTCCAGGTATTTTTGTCTTCGATGATCATCTAGTAAGTTATATAAAAAGTCAAAGGCAGTGGCAAAGCCTGTTAAGGAATGGCCAACTGGGACCTCATCCCCTGGTGCATTCTCAACTAGCCAGTCTTTGTAGCCAACCATCCTGTCCATATATTCCAAGACAAATTCAAAGGCAACCTTGTCTTCTGGGCATAACAAACAGTACAGTGCTAAAGGAGGCAGATTGTTACCATAAATTTCATTCCACTTGGCAGCAAAATCAGCATGCTTGGGTGGAGGTAGGTAGTATGTTGGGTTGGACAGCATGACTGTCACTGCACTTCTAATAGCTCTAAAAAGATGCAAATGGCTTGTGCGAGACTTTTGTCTCATTGTTTGGATTTCTCCTGCATCAAAATATAAACTTGGATGAAGCATACTTTTTTTCAGCTTTTGGTTGGATCTGAAATCTTGCACTTTCTGTGTCTTAAACTGATCTATATCATCTGCAAAAACTGCCCAGTCAGAGTAATTGCTTACAGATTCCTCAAAAGTTGAGAAAGCAAACATCACTAATGCTAAAAATAAGAAATGTCCTGTAAACATTAACGCCATGATCCATCAGGGAGTTCCTTTCCTTAGGCAATCATGTCAAACAGAGTGCTCAATGTGGTTCCCATCTGCTCAGTATAAAACACCCATTTAAGGCCTTGATAAAACAAAGACTATAAATCGCTTATGCTGTGAAATCCAGATGATAGTTGCTCCTTCAAAGCAAATACGATTGCCAAAAAGAGAAAACTTACACTGTATATCTGCGTCTCTAACACAGTTTCACTTCCAATAAAATTTCAAGGAATGTTAAATCCTCTAGTTTTTCCATATCACAGAGCAAACAGTGATATACAGACTCAAACATACTATGACTTTAGGATTTACTTCCTTTGCATAAATTTAACATGAAGTGTCAAAACACACACTGTTTAAAAAGAAAAAGAAAAAGAAAAAGGAAGAAAAAAGCACTCCAAACTCCAAATGAAGTCATTCCTAGCATAGGAAACCATCGCCGGAAATAAAATCACCAAACGTGGGTGATGTCCTTGTGTGTGTGTCTACCCAAAGAAAGCGACAAAGTCTGAAATCCTTGGGGTGGATTCGGTTGTTTTTCTTCTCAACTTTTTACACTTCTGGCTTTGAAAATTTTTTCTTCTTCGTTTTTGGGAGAAAAACATCCTCAATAAGTGTCCAAAGTCCTACCTGGTTTTAAAAATCTCAAAATTCCTGCCCTCATTTCAAATCTGTCTTTTTCAGGCCTTCTTACTTATCAGCCTATTATGACCCAGAGGAAGCATTTTCATGTCTTCTTTTATCAGCTTCATCTGTACAGCTAGAAAAATCTAATCTCTTCAGCCACCTAGGTACATCTCTTCCAATCATGAAGTAACCACCAGTGGGGAAAGAAAACTCCCCTTTCACCAACAATGACGGCTCTTTTCTGTTCCTTTTTCATGACATTCCTTTCTGGGAGGAAAAAAACACAAAGAAATTCTCTGAGGCTACAGGTATGCTGGGAGTGGATATAAACTGATATCTCAATTCGTGTACTGGACAGAAATTTCGGAATCACAATAAATCTGTTATTAAATATAACCTACGTTTATTCAATTGATTCTTTTTTTATTACTATTATACCTTTAAATGCACACATTAGGATAACAAAGAATAGTGGCAGATGACAAGCAGCTACAAGATATAACTTTGCCCCACGGTATTTATTTTAACTGTGGCTGGCTTTAGCCATTTAAAATGTTTTAAGGGGGTGAGGGGTAATGAGGGGTAGAGGGGTTCTAGTGTATGGTGACTAAGGGAAGGAGATTTGACTTTGGGTGGTGGGCACACAGCCAATATACAAATGATGTATCATAGAATTGTGCACTTGAAACCTATATAGTTTTATTAAGCAATGTCACCCCAATAGATTTAATTTAAAATGTAAAATAAATACAATGTTTTTATTCGAATGCAGTTTACCCAGTGAGTCCTGCTATGATTCTTGTTGTTTCAGGCACAAACGACTCAGCGATGAAAAGCAAAAGTTGCAAGGACCTTTTTAGATTCCGTCTGAGGGTTTAGCTTTCATGGGATCAGAAGGTGCCCCTGTAAGGGACCAGTCACTTCCCTCAAAGGAGAAATCATGATAATGTGTGGGAGCAGAGAAGGGCAGTTCCGCTCCCACCTCTCACCTGTAGCCTCGCTTTCCATCCTCATAAGGAACCAGCAGAGGGAGCTCAGACCCAGACTTAAGGAGCCCCTGCGAGTCTTCGGATGGGAAGAACCCTACCCAAGTTTCAGTCCTGGACAAGTCTCCTCTCCGTGGGAAACGTTAACCCGAGGAGTTTTCCTGCTCGGCCCCGCCTGTTGCATTTTTTAAATACGCTTCCTACGAACGTGCCGCCCCCATCCTGCGCTTCCCGCTCCGCGAACTCCGGCGGTGATTTGGGGACAGAAGACCCCTGAATGGTCAAGTCCACTTACCTTCGCAGATCCGGACAGGGTCCTCCGGCGGCGCTGGGCCCCGATGCGGCGGAGGCGGGGAGTTGGAGAGAACTGCGGTGCGCAGGAGGCCTGGCCGTGCGGCTCCGCGCAGGGTCCCCGGAGCCCTAGAGCCCCGGACCCCGCGCTCCCCGAGCTCCAACAGGCTGCAGCCCCGCGCTGGTCCCCACCCCGCGCGGACACGCTTGCCCTCGGGGAACGCCGGACGTCCCCGGGCCGCCCGGGACCGCGGGAGGCAGGTCCGCGCGCGGAGGACGCTCTCGGGGACGCCGTGTCCAGCGGAGCGCCGGCGTCCCCAAGCCGCGATGCCCGAAGCCGCCGCCGCTGCCGCCGCTCCTTCGTGCCAGCTCCGGCCGCGCGGCCCGGGAGGCGAGAGACAGCTCCGCGGGCCGGGGGCGGGGCGGGACCAGACAGGGGCGGGGCCTGGGCGGGGCCTCGGGCTGCGGGGGGGTGGTGAGGAGGAGACACGAGTCGGGATGGGCGGGGCCTCTGGCCGGGGCGGGGCCAGAGGGACTGGGTGCTGGGGCTGCGGGGCTGGGGGCGGGACAGGAGCGGGCGAGGGCGGGGCCGGGGCGGAGCCGAGCGCTCTCCCCGCCTATCGGGAGGGGCTCGCGGCCCGCGCGTTCCAGGCTGCCGCGGCCGCCGGGCCTCCGGGACCACAGGATCTGCCAGCCGGGACTTGGGGTGTGTGAGTGTCTGAAGTTCTCGCCCGCCTGCCAGTCCCTTTGGTTATGGGGCGAGGACCACTGTAACAGGGCGCAGGGTGGGAGGAAGATGGAGGAAGCGCTGGGCTTGAGGACAAATGGGAGAAGCGGGGGCTGGTGGGTGAGGCGGTGGGTGTCAGCCTTCACCCTTTAGGAAGAGCGAGGGCTGGGGGGGGGGGGGGCGGGGGAGGGATGACAGGCAGTCTGGCTGAAGTTGCTGTCATATAGGAAAGCAAAATCAGTGCTCCAGAGTAATAGGAGAGTGACTTCAGGGCCACAGATGCTAAAGATCAGGGGGAGCCAAAAAAATACTCATTAGCTTTATGGATTGAAATCATTTCTCCGGCAGCATAAATATGGAAATGTGGGTAACAAGCAGGTGGAAGGAACCTCTTTTCTTATTAAAGAAATGGAAACTGGAGTAAAGACCCATGGCCGGCGAAGACGGAGTCCCTTGGTTACTATGACACGTATTGCAATTCTAGGGTTAGGGAATCCTAAGGCAGCTGTGAATCCTGTTATACTCGACCTATTGAACTCCTCACAGGTATCTGAGGTTATATTTCCGTGTAAACCAACCCGAGATCTGACCTCAACTATCACGAATAACAGCAATAATAAGAACACAGGGAAATATGAAGAGTTGCAAATGAACAAGCCCATCCCATTAAAATAAAAAAAAAAAGGAAGAGTGTCTTGCTAAGATCACTTCCTGGTAAAACCAAACAAGAGACCATTGCTAGGAGAATAAATTTCAATTATTTACCTTGGAGGTGAAAAGTGACTCTACTTCCTCATCCTTCTATTTTGTCCCCTTGGGAACCCCACCGCAGTCCAAATGGTCAAAGTTGCTTTTGCTTTGGCACTTTGATAACTATGCTTATCCCGTTCCTCCCTGCACAGCATCATCTGCCCAACCACCCTCACTTACTAGTTGAAACTTGTCTACTGAAATTCTTTTAATCATTCTCATCTTAGCTCAGATGCTTACAAATTCCTCTCTAAATACCTCCTAAGTTTCCCCAACCAGAATGAGTCACTCAAGCACTTTGTGATTTGGGTCTATAGTCAGCCCTTAGAGCATTTGTTTTGTGCTTAATATTTACCTGACTGACTCCTGTGCTCTGTGCAAAGCTCCTTCAACTTCCAAGCAGTCACCCATCCCCTCTGTAAGCGCTGTATCTGTGTTTGAAATGAGTTGAACCTTTAACAGTGGGCTTCACGTGGAGCCTGGTCTCCTCCACTGACATTCATTGTGAAGCATGAGTCTTCCTCTGAACTCCAGAAACAGAACTTCCTGAGAAAGTCTGGCTCGTCCCCCTATGTGGTCCACAATTTAGGAAGATGACTCATGGCTTCCAACCTCAGTTATGGGAGAGCATAGAGTTGGGGGAACGAGGAGCCCAACTGCAGAGATTCCTATAGTTTTCTGCAAAGAGGTGCTTTGGAAAGTGCCTAGGAATTAGTGCTATACACCGAGTGAATAAGTATGCAGACTTTTTCAGAACAAAATGTGTGGGTGGCATTCTTTTATCCTTGGATCCCAAGTTTCCCATGACACTAAGGCAAGGTGAATCATGGAGGTTATTATGAGCACTAACATCTGGCAGGTGAATATTTTAACTTGCATCTGATCTTTTTTTCAGATTTATTAGCATCAACATGACCGTTTTCACTTTACAGATGAATGGATCCAGGTATAGACATTGTGGCCTTTTGGGTTTGCCCCTTGCATGGGTGTTGAAGCTGTGGGATGCAGCTAACGTCGGCATCTTCAGGTGAGCTTTTAGGCTAATTCACATTAAGCAGCATCGTCTCCCAGCTATGAGTGCGTTGAAATAAAACAGGAGCTACAGTGGACCAATGCTAATCTCTGGCAGAAAGGGTGAGTGGCAGATGGCACTATGAAAAATGAAGCGAGGTCCTGGCCAGGCAGCTCAGTAGGTTGGAGCGTCATCCCTGTATACCGAGGTTTGATCCTGGGTCACAAGAAGTAACCAATGAATGCATGAATAGGTGGAACAACAAATTCATATTTCTCTCTCTCTTCCTCTCTTTAAAATCAACAAATAAAAATTAAAAAAAGAAAAATGAAGAGAATCTTGTTTTCTGAGAACTAAAAATGGATAGGTCCAATTATTTATTGCTCCTTCAACATGTGGAGATGATACAAAGTTAGTTATAAATAATGCATCTAACCGTAGAAGGGATGAGCTACATGTTATGTGATTGTACATTAAAAACCTTTATGAGCGCGGCAAGAGACACGTACACCAACAGCTGCTAAATTCAGAATCCTGGAACAGTATCTTATTTTATGTAAAAGAAGAACAGTGCAGTCTATTGCTTTGGGGATTTTCTGCTATATACAAAGATCTTAAATCTACATGAGATTTTACTCGTGATTTCAAAGCACTTATGAAAATCTGGTTTTTTTATTTGAATATCTTTCAACCAAACTACCAGCTATACCACTTAAAACAGAGATGACACTTTCTAGACTAGATTTCCCAAGGCAGGGCCTTCCTCCCTCCCTCCCTCCCTCCCTCCCTCCCTCCCTCCCTCCCTCCCTCTCTTCCTCCCCTCCTTCTTCTTTTTCATTCTTTAACAGCTAGACCAGAGCCTTGCACTTTGTGTGGAGTGCATGTTGAGTATTGAACATGGAGTCTCACCCTTATTTTATGGCAGAAGAGGAACAAAGTCATAAACCCCTGAAGAGCAGAATCAGGAGCTTGTTGTCTCCCAGCCGTGCTCAGAAACTTGTTACTGTAGGATCAGTGATTGGAGCTGTGTCGTGGGGTGACTTCACGTGCCACCTAAGACTAGAAAGTCAGCCAACACGATAAGGAGAATCTCTGCAAGAATTGTATGTCTTAAGATCGGTAACTTCAAGTTCTGAGCCTCAGAGCCTAAGGTTTATACTCCATTGCTTATAGAGGGATAAAGTGTAAGCAGTTAAAACAAACCAAGATACCACATGATGTCCCTTGACTGAAATCTTTTGTCGATGATCTGTTGTATGGATTATCTCTTAATAATTGGGGCAAAGATATCCAAGAACTAACTGCGGTTCATTCAGCAACTGAGCATGTGCAGATCTCTAGCCCACGGGCTTACAGAGAACGTGGGTGATTTCATTATTCTTCCCTTCACCCCTGCCCTTCCTTCATATGGTTTTGGCTGAGAGCTCAGATGCAGATTTCCTGAACCAATTACAAGGCGAGATGTGTATTATAGTGATCCACGAGCTCTGCTAGAACCAGTGTTTGCCCCAGCATTTGGGGGGAGAGCAGCTGTTATGGTACAGAAACAGACACCAAACTTAAGCTGCAAAATTTTTTTGCACAATTGACCAGCAGTCATAGGCCACACCGATAAGAAAGACAAAAACCACAGATTTAAAGCGGGCAGTAGAATGTGGAAATACTCTTTCTGCAATTGCTTTGAATGCACAACATCTCAAAGTGACAGGGATTTTGCTGGCAGAGCTGCCAATGAAGATGTGGCTGGGAGTCTTCCTTTAGTTCAGTGGTTCTCAACCTTCTGGCCCTTTAAATACAGTTCCTCATGTTATGACCCAACCATAAAATTATTTTCGTTGCTACTTCATAACTGTAATGTTGCTACTATTATGAATCATAATGTAAATATCTGATATGCAGGATGGCCTTAGGCGACCCCTGTGAAAGGGTCGTTCGACCGCCAAAGGGGTCATGACCCACAGGTTGAGAACCGCTGCTTTAGTTGGTTTATTCAGCTCTACAGGAGCCTCTCTGACAGTAACCAGATTTTTAAAACTTTTAAAATACCAAAGCCAAGTTCTGGGGACAGAAGTTTCCCCAGAAGTCCACTACTAGTAAAACCTTGTATTTTTAAGTGGGAAGCATTATTGCTACCACATCTGCTTATATACAGTTTTGCTCTTACCCTGAAGGACAATTTTAGACTAAGTGAAACTGACAAGGGGAGTAGAGATGGGGCTCTTTCTCTGTCCCCTCCCTGTCTTATTCCAGTTTCTCAACCCCAAACCCCAGGGACATTTGGCTCCTCAGAAAACACTGGACAGTGGAGAATGTGTTGATTGTCTCAGCTAGGGCATGGGGGACTGAGGGCATGTGGTGGGCAGGGCCAAGGATTAAACATCCTCCAGCCCCATCCCCAGCCCCAAGCAAAGAATTATCCAGCCCAGGATGTTAATACTGCTGAGTTTGAAAAAACCCTGCCTTAGCCCACTGATTCTAACAATCCATGATATGCAAATTGTTGGTAATTGTTTGAATCAAGTCCTAAGGGCTTTCCGTCACCATTTTGTGATTAGTCCCAGAGTTGCTCTTACTCATGTATTAACACGTGGCTTTCTGTTGTTTATCAGATACTGGGTCCATACTCTTTGCTTGGTCAAAGACACTCCTAACACCAGCTATTTCGCTTCATCTAAGAGCCTGGGCTAGGCGACCAGGCACAACTGGCAATAAATCAATTACTACAGAACAGTTTGGGAAGAAGTGACTTTAAGGTGATCAGGAATGCCCTTCTGATGTTAAAAAAAAAAAAAAAAAAGCAAACCCCTTCACACACAGGCACACCTCGACTGCCTCTATTGTCAGAATTCTTTCCTGTAGGACAATGTTTTCAAATTAAAATCCTTGGACCCTCAGTATAAAAAAGCCCA